GCGGCGGGCTGCGGCTTTCAGGGGGAGGCAAGCGCCCAAGGGGTTTTGGTGCCTCTGGCCGGCCGGGCGTCCCGGCCGCGAAGCGGCCGCGAAGCGGGGGGCCTAGTTTCAGTTTTGGGGGCCCAGGCCGCAGGGGCGGCAGGATGGGCGGGCGGGGCTGAGGGGCGCATTTGCAGAGACACACACCCCACCCCACCCTGCGATTAGACAAGCTGTTCGGCCGCGGGGGCAGGGGCAGGCGGAGCGGGGCGAGCGTGCTGCCATTGCTGAGACTTCGCAACCACGCGCGCACCTCGTTGCCCGCTGCTCAGTTAACATGCGGGGTGTTACGGATTCTCTGGTTTGGGCCGTGACGGCGGGTTGCATGGGGATGCCTTTGCCTGCATGGCGGCAACACAACCACGGACAGCTCGGCGGCCGACCACACGCGCGGCGGCACCAAGCCGCAGCTGAGCGCTGCGCTCCTGCTGCTGCCCTGTGGGCGCCGCCAGCTGCCCTGGCCTGCGCCTGCTACGCATTGGCCTTGCGGCATGCGCACCGGGGCCTCCCTTGAAGGCCGCGCATCGGCACCTGCTGCTCGACCCAGGACAGGCAGCCGACCTCCCAGTGCAATGGGCAGGATTCGGGAGCCTGTCGCGCCACTTGTTTTGGCGCATGCGGCCGATTTGGAATTTGTCAAGGGGTTGTTACGAGTGTGCTTTTTGAACGGGCATGCTGAGGGAGGACTCAGCCAGGCCAAGCAAGAGTTGTTTTGCTGGAAACCCTGGCTTGCCGAGGATCATAATGCCTCAAATCAATCACCACCACAAACTGACGCAGGATGCATACCTTTGATCCGGGTGCTAGGAAATGTTGACTTTGAAGGCCGTTTTGAAGGCGGTTCCGCAGCCATTGGTATCTGCCGCTTTTTGCTGGGGAGCAAGCCCCCAACAGTTGCTTTGCGATGCATCCTACCGGCACGCAAGCGTTTTTGCGAACTTCTGTTTTTTGAGATAGTGTTGAGTAATCTTACATAGTCGGTGCTGTCGCTGTTGTCCTGCCCGTCGTTCACACTCTTACACTTGCTGCTGAAAGAATAACGCAAGGGAGTACTGGCTGGAGGGCCAGTCAAAGAGACGATGCCTGCACATAATGTTCAACAACTGAGCCGTAACAAAGGCAGATCTGGAACAGGCGGGTGCGCACCTGGCAGGGGACCCTTGCAATTGTGCGGGCACGCCCTGCAAAACCAACCATCGGGCCTGGCGGGCAGGCCGGGGCGCTTGCTGCCCCTCTCGGTCGCAGCCTCGAGCGAAGGGGAGTTGTGTTCAAGCAACAGGCAGCGCTTGACCGGGATGTGCAGCACTCTGCTCTGAAGTCCCGAGTAATGCGCTGTTGTGTGCGCCGGCTGTCCGCGACGCCTTGCTGCAAATCAATCAATCACAACGCGTGAAGGGCAACTGCAAAAGGTCCAGATCGCAATTGTTTATCTTGCAGTGGTGACGTCACCAGGGAATCTCGTCGCCGTTGAAGGAGTACCACCGCCCGTTGAGCGGCCGCCCATCCTCCAGCACCTGGTGCAGCGGGGCAGCATGCCCTGGCTGTTGATGCAGAGCAACTGCACAAGATCGTGGCTGGCCGTTGCGAAGTGCATTGGCCCACAGCACTGCCTCACAGGCTGATTCACAGCACCCATCCGGGTCTGGCCAAGACTGAACCCACAGCTGCGTTTTGCATGCAGAGTCGGTACACACCTTGAGAATGCCTGCTGCGCTTTCCTCCACCTCCACCCAGCCCTGGCCGCTGGTCATGTCCGTCTTGACATAGCCTGGCGTTGGAGAGCATTCAGGGTGACAAGGGGGGTGGGTGTTGGAACAAAAATTGCAGGGGGAGGAGATGCGGAGCCAGCTGATGTGTGAGAAGGGGGTTTCAAGTGGGGATGTGGTTAGACAGCGGGCGCAGGCTGATGAGGCAAGGCGCAGCACAAAACCAAGGATGTTGCTAGAGCCCACACGGCGTGCGGCTGCGGCTCGCCGCCCTGGGTCCCTCGACCTTGAAATCCGCGAATGTGTAGCGTGCCCCCCCACCTGGGTGCACCAGGCAGCACTGGATCTGCCGGCCGTCGCGCTCAAAGTCGCGCGCGAGCGTAGTAGTCACCGAGTTGAGGGCCGCCTTGGACGCCCTGCGGGCGCAGCGCAGGCGGGGTGGGGAAAGTGCCTCGAAACGTCAAAAGGCGCCACCCCACTTTGCCATCTGGCTTCAGGGCGGGGTCGCACGGGTGCATACGTAATTTTTAACAGGGCATCAAGCGCCTGGAGGTGGGCAGGCCTACTGGCGACGCAACCTGTGCCTGCCCAGGGGCCTGGTGTCTAACAACCGCACCTGTAAGCATATGCGCCCGGCGTGACCGCGCTGACTGTGGGGTCTGAGTTGGAGCCCATTATAGAGCTCACGTTGACCACCAAGCTGCCGGGCGGCCCTAGCAGCTGCCGTGCGAGCAGCTGCTGGATCACTAGGAAGGGCCCGACGCTGTTGGTCATGAAAACTGGAAGGAAGTCGGCCGCCGTGAACTCTTCCAGCTTGGGGCGGCGGCCATCGCCGGAGTAGATTCCAGCGTTGTTGATCAGAAGCTGGGCAGTCAGGGAGGTCGAGGAGCCGAGTATGGCGGGAGGGGGTGAGGGGCGTGGTGCAGCTGAGAGGGGGAAGGGCATGGTCGTGTCGCTGATCAGGCCGTGCCTCAGGCAGAGGCACGCCTGCCGAAGTGCAGCCACACCACTGTCAGCATGAATCAGCTCGTGGGCACAACGTGGGCGTGTCTGCTTTGGCCGTTGGGCGAGGAGCGATCCGAAATCAGTGGCTAGCATTGTAAATGCCGCCCCCGACTACCCACATCAACGTGCTTGATTTTGTGTTGGTCCTTCAGCGCCGCCGCCCACGCCTCCACCGAACCCTGGCTGGCCGTGTCGAGCTCGGTGACAACCAGCCGCGCCGGGTGCTCCGCCGCCAAGCGGCGCAGCGGCTCCGACGACGGCGCGTCTGCGGACCTGGTGGTTGCGATGACGGTGTTGCCGCGGGCGAGAAGCTTCTCGACTAGGCCGCGGCCGATGCCCCTGCATGGAGGTTGGGATGCAAGGGCCGCGGGTCGTGAGCGCTCATGATTGCATGCCCTTAGAATGGCAAGGCAGGCGGGTCCCTCAGAGACTGGTCCAGGTTGGGCTGAGTGGCAATGGCAGCACGGCAAAACATTGCGCTGGCTGGCGCCCGTGCCTGCTTCCTCCAGTGACGAGGCACGTCTTTCCCGTAATCATTGCAACAATCTCAGTAATGAGAAGATGAGGGGCGCAGAACGACGACCAGATCTGCTCTTTTATTATTGTTGCTGTTCATACACGGTGTCAAGCAAAGAAGAGTTTCAACTATTTTCTAAAGTTCGCGCGCAATCGCTATTTTGATCGTTTAGTGTCACCTTCCGGGTCACCACCGAGGCTGCACACGCCGCAGACAGCGAGAGTATGTCGGACGAAGCGAAATCATCTACACCGGCAGATCCTGTTATGGCGGGTGGCCTGGACGGCAGCAGCAGCACGCTCGATGCCGCGGCGGCCGCAGTTGAAGCAGGTGCGGGACGTGCCGCAGCTGCACAGCGCTCGCAGGTGTGTCTGGGCTGCCTGCACTTACCCATCCTGCTGCTTCTACAGGCCCATCAGACATGCCGTACGTCCACACCTCTCTCACGGAGCGCTTTCAGGTGGGCACGCCAGCTGCCACACTCCCTGGGAGTCGGCTGCTGGCCCTCACGTTCCTCCCCCACGCAGCTGTACGGGGCGCCATTCGCCGCGCCACTGCACAGACAGCGGCCCTGCGGCTCTAATCTCTCCACCTGCACAGCATGCCTGGCGCTCGTTCCACATGCGGCGCGACCGGCGACGCATGCCGCCCGCGCCGCCCCCCAACCGCAACCCCAAACCACTCGTCCGCAGGGCAAGTTCCAGCGGCTGTCGTTCCCGACGTTTGAACAGATGATGGCGGAGGATGCCATGAACAACTGCGGCGTGCGGTCGATCATCGCGGGGGCGGGGGGCGCGCTGCTGGGCGTGGCTTTTGGGGTCTTCACGGCATCGCTAGACACCGGGGTGAGCGGCCCAAGGGCACGGGCGGGCAGGGTTCAGGGTTGAGCGTTTACGCATGCGGGCTGCCTTGTGGCACAGGTCGCGCCGTGTGCACTGCGGGAGCGTGAGGGTTGCCGCGCTCAGCACGGCGCTGAAGGGTGGCGGGCCAACGGGCGCCTTGGAGGGCCAGGCGGGTGTCACTTCTCAGGCTGCCGCGCCACGGCACCTCTGTGGGGGGCTGGGCTGTTGCGCGCGACTGGAGGCTCTCGGCGGTGTGCAGGTTTGCGGTCGAGACTCTCTGCCGACCCCGGCTGCTGCGCAGGGCATGGACGCGGCGGTGGTGGGGGAGACCAAGTCGACGCGGGTGGTGCTAAGGGAGACGCTGCAGCTCATGAAGTCCAAGAGCGTGTGAGTGCCCCGGATGCAGGGATACAGCTTATAATCCATTGCTGATGTATAGCCTGTCAGCTCAGCGGGGTGGGGCGAGCGCAGGGGCGGAGGCCCGGGGCGGGGGGCAGGGCACTCGTCGTGAAAAGGAGCCCCGTCGATGTGTGCTTGCAAGCTCGCGAACCCGGGTCAGGCGTCGGGCAGCCGTGTTTCGCACACGTGCTGCTACGCGTCACATCGACCGGCTGCGCGCCGCCTCTGCGCATGGGACTAAAAAGACTCACGTTTTGCAATCGTTTTTGGTCCTGGCTCCTGCCCCTACTTTGCAGGTCCTACGCCAAGGGCTTTGCTGTGATGGGGCTGGTGTACAGCGGCTGCGAGTGCCTCATAGAGAAGCGCCGCGCGCGCCACGACAAGTGGAACGCGCCGCTCGCGGGCTGCGCGGCCGGCGGCATCATGGCGGCGCCCGGTGAGACGCCCGGCGGGGAGGGGGGGGGTGTCTGGGGGTCCTCAGATGCGCGGCGGGGGGTCCGCCTGCAAGAACGCACGGGGGCGCGTTGCGGGATGCCGGCTTTGGTTGCCGCGCCAGTGCATGGAATTTGTGCAGCTGGCGCCACCGCCTGCACTTTGATGGACTTGTTAACCCCTTGCAGCCAGCCCCTGTCCACGCGACCTCGGGCCGACCTGACCACACGCGTCACCCTGCTCTTTGCTCGCCCCTCCCTCGCCGCTCGTCACGTTTGCAGCGGGCCCAAAGGCTATGTGCTTCGGCTGCGCGTCCTTTGCCGCTTTCAGTTACGCCATCGACCGCTTCATGGGGCTTCACTAATGTTGGGCTGCCCTGCTCTTGGAGGGCACTGCATCACACCGCACTTGGGTCAGGAGTGCGCTGGACGTTTGGCTAGACTTGGTTGCTGCGGTAGCTAGGTATCATGCGCTGCGCTTGCAGCTGCAGCAGTGCTGCCGCCGTCACGGACAAAACGCACACCTGATGACTCGAGGCCGGCCCGTTTGCAGCTGCCCTGCAAGCCGTACGCTTGGTCCGCCATCATGCACTCGGTTTGGCCGCTGCTGAGATGCAGCCTAGTGTTTGACGCGTTGTCACTTTCGTTTGATCCACGTGGTTGAGCCCGCTGATCGAAGTTCAGGGTTCGTGCCCGCCCTCGCGAGGCAGGTGGTGCAGGGCAGTCGGGCTGTCTCACCCACGTGTGGGTTCGCAGGAATGTGAAATGAGCGTTGCCTGTGCTGCAGTAATCGGGCCTTGTCCTGAACGTGATGGCGCCACTCCTAACAAGGGGGGCACGAGGTTTCTGCATGCTCGCTGCATGCGCAATGCTCCCCGGACCGCGAAATGGGGAGGGTCGGTCGTCTCCTGCACCGCGTGGCGTGGGTCTGTAGCTGTTTTGTCCATCCCTGCTGCACTGAGAACCCGGCTGTCGGGCAGAGTTCAGAATGTTGCGGGTTGAGTCATGCGGATGCCCGTACTGGCCAATGTGCCTGACGCAGTGCGAGGGAAGGCGCTGCCCCAGCCAAAGGCAGGAGCAGCCCCGGCTGCCAACGGCTCATACGACCTGGCGAGCTCATTCAAGGGGGTTACACATCTAGTAATGCTGGTGTGTGCCAGGTTTGTGAAGACGCGCCTTGGGAAGGCTGCATTGGGCCGAAACCCCCAAAAAACACAATCCCTCCTTCAAAACCGGGCCCAGCCGTCAGAAAGGCATCTAAGCCGCAAGGATCAAAGCGACAGGGTAACCAAATTGGGGTTGCTTGGGCGCGGACAGCGACAGGTGCCCCTTTGCATTGGACATAGCGCCGCGCTGCGCCGCGCCGCTCCACGCGGGTGCAGAGATAAACGGAAATGGAAAAAACAAATGGGAGGGGCCTTTGACACAAGACGGCCCTTTGATATGTTGAGATGGTGCCATCGCCCTTCACGGTCAAGACACACCGCCTGACGGCACCCGCGGCGCGGGCTGCTGCCGGCACGAGACGGCAGTGCCAGATGCCTCGCTGCCGGTGGCGCTGCGGCTGCTGCGACGAAACGAAATTTGCAGGCCGGGGTGCTCGCCCGAGGTGCGCCGCCGCCGCCGCGGACGCATCTGCTGCTGTGGCCGTCGCATGGCGCCCCCGGCCTGGGAAGGGGGCGCCAGTGCTTGACTGCTGCTGCTGCTGCCGCCGCTGCTGCTGCGGTTGCTGCTGCTGCTGCTGCTGCTGGCGGCTGCTGAACTCAAATTGCTGGTCAGCTGGGACACGGTCGATGGGCGTGCGTCCGCCCGCTGCAATCATCCACCCTGCGTCAGTAGCGTCACCACTCTGCGCGCTGCCGGGCCCACGGCGCCCACTCAGGCCGGCGCCGGCGCCGCGGCTGCGCAGACGGCCGCCCACATTCTGCTGAAGGCCACCCCCTTGTGCAATGCGGAAGCTCGAAGGGCCAGCCGCAGCCGCCGGTGGCGGGAACCTCCCGCGCCTCTGCTGCTTCTGCGCGGCACGACGGCGGCTTGCCGCTTCGGCTGGCCGCACCTCCTTGGGCGGGCCACAACCCCTCCAAGCAGAGTGCAGGCGCTGCTGCTGCCGCCCGACGCACCGTCTCGGTCAGGCTACCAGGGTGCACCTGCAGCCGGCGCGGGCGCGGCCGCCGCCATCCTGCTGCTTGGTGCCGCCGCGCCAGCCGGGTGAGCAATACAACCGACTGCCCCCCGCCAAAATGCGCCAGCGGCGCTGCAGCCGACGCCACCATGCCGTCTTGGGGCAAACCGCGACTGCCTGATTTGCTGCACCCCTCACCGACGCGCAACCCGCGACTGCCGTCACCGCCGCAGTTGAGAGGCAGCTGCATCACACGCTGCCGCCGCCGCCGCGGCCGCCGCCGCAGGGGCGGCCGGGTCACCCGCTGCCACCCGCCGCCGCGGCGTCCCTGACGGGCGCAAAGTATTCGTGCGCCATCGCCTCCGCCGCGGTGGGGCGCTCCTGGTGGTCGTAGCTGAGAAGCTTCCCCAGCAGGTCGAGGGCCTCGGGTGACACCAGGTGACGGTTGTCGTCGTTGACGAACTTGCGCCACGGCTGCCTGCGGGGCGAGGGCGTGTGTGTGTGTGTTTGTGAGATTGTGTGTGCGAGTGTATGTGTGGGGGGGAGAGCCGAACCGGGACTTGGGCTAACATGCGCGGGGCCGTCGCAGCCGGGCGATTGACTTGCACCTAGGGCCCATCAGCCTGGCTCCGTTGTGGACCCTTGCCCTGCGGCCAGCAAACCCTGCGTACTCATCATCACCACGCCCGACTCCCCGCTGCCGCCCCCGCCAGCGGCCACCTCGTCACAGGCGGCCCAACCAACCGCCACTTAATCAGCCACATGAGACAGCCCACCGCCCGGACAGCATGCCAACTTTATAATCAAACGCCTGGGCGCCCGTAGCCTGCCATCCCTCCCTAGGTAGGTCAAACACCTTTCTCAGGTCGAACCCGCAACCCTCTGGCCCCCTTGCGTTGCAGCCAGACCGCAAACTGGCAGGTGCAACACCCACCAGGCCACCGAGCCGGCCACCGATCCCGCACACCTGAAC